CCTACTGGTGGTCATATATGGGATTCCTTGTACTCGTGTATGTGATTTCTCCAGATTTCCCTGCAGTGCACTCAAATTTTAAATTAAAATACTTTACTTTCTGATACTACATATATCAAATCTACTGCTTTGAGATATTTAAGGTAAATAGCTGTATAAAAAGAATTATTAAAAATACAAAAATATTGTTTTGGAAAATAATTTTACAATGTTACTTTGAAAACAGCTTTACCATCAGAGCATGAAAAGCTACACTGAAATCTGTTTTTGCAGATTATTTTATTGCCTACTTTGTCAAAAAAATGCAATCTTGACTATTATCTCTGCAATCTTGTTATTTACTACCTTCATACTCTGAATCCATCATATAAACTATTTTGATATGCAACAGTAACTAAAAAGTGAAATTTAAAATGATTACGTTTCCCATTCAAAGCAGGAAATCTCACTGTAAAAAATGTAAAGAAAGTAAGAATAGTTGCACCAACTTTTAGCAGTATTTAAAAATACAAAAAATAATTGCAGAATATAACGAGATGTGTGAGTAGCGATGAGTTCCCTTCAGTGATACAGTTTTGCTCTTCATCCCATTATGTGCGATGTCAACAATACGGGCACAAAAAAGCTGATACGATGCATTGCACCGACCAAGAAAGGGTTAATTGGTGCAAAGAATGTCAGAACTAGAGTGAACACCAGTGGTCTTATGTTCTCTTTACTAATAAGCTGAGTTTAGATTAATATCTGATTTTAAATACGTTTACATCTGGTGGCAGTCAGAAATGTGAAATCTTTCCTTGAACATTATGGAACGTGACTGTTTGTGTAATGCATGTGTGATGTTATGGAGAGAAATAATGATTACTTGATGTACGCCCCTACAGGTTTTCTTTGGCCAAGCAGAGATATCAGAATGATGTCTTAGAACCTTACGTGAGATTTTTGAGGGGTGCATATAAATCTGACTCTTTATTTGTGGACAATATTGCTTGTCCACATCAGGCAAACCTTGCTGACAAATTCCTTAAAAGGAAAGTCATTAAGTGAATACTATGATAGCGAAATATCCTGATCTTAACCTGATAGAAAACTTGAGGGACTACTTTGGAAAAGCAGTTGTATGGAAATATCCTCCTTCTAGAGACGTGGATGTGCTGTGGACAGCATTACTGGGAGAATGGTACTTAATTCTCCAAGCAATGGTTAGCAGTCAACATGAAAACACTTTGCGATATGTGTATACAAATTAGAAGAGATCACATTCCATATTAAATTCATAAGCATTATTTTTTTCCCCTGAGTTATTCCTTTTTTCCCCAAAAAACTCTCCTGGTGGGTGACATATCATTATTATTTTCATTATTTCAAGTTATAGTTTTATATCATATCCAGTATTGTTAATTGTTTTCCTTTGTATATGTTATGCATTATTCCAACCAAATTCATGAAATATAAACATTTTCTGAGAAATTCATGATCTCACGTTTGTAAAAATATTGAACATGGGATATATTAAGCTTTAGCACTAAGAAGAAATTGTTTTGTAAAAAGCTCTTCTTAGTGAGATTCTTCCCCAAAGATTTTTTTTGTGCTTGAAATGTAAAGATAATCTTGATTGCTGTAATCTCTGAATATTATTGTCTTTGTGGTAGAGTATTTGCGTTCCAACGAGAATATTTCTATTTTAACATTTGCATGCCGTGTCCTTGTTTGCTGCGTTGTACCCCTGCACACTTGTTATAGTGTGAGTATAAAGACTTGAACTTTTTGCTGAGAGACACACTTGCATTCGTACTTCACTGTTCCTGCTTGTTCGTGGTCAACATTTGATATTGGTTTATCATCGTGTATTTAATTTCGTATTTTACCTTGTAATTTTAAAATAAAGTTAATTTTATGGTTTACTAGTCTTTTTGATGAACCGTCTGATAAGTTTAAGATATTGTGGCATTAAGCAGTCGCCAAGAAGAATGCTGCAGTTACGGGTGGCGAGAGTTAATTGCTCTAGGGAGCTAAATATTAAGATTTCATGGCAGTAATATCTTTCCAAACTATTCTATTATAGAGCTACAAATTTGGAAAATTTCAGTAAAAGTGTTTATTTCTTAGTGTCTTGATGCTGATATTAGATAATTTTTTCCCAGGTTATTGTGTGTTTCAGAGTACAGGTAGGGCTAGTTCACGGGAGTTGATTTTTCTTCCATATTAATGTGTATAGTATTCTTTAAAAACTCTATAGAAAGACTTATTCTGTCTTGTTTTGTCTCTCAAAAGTCTGAGTTGCTTGGACTCATGCTTGCATTGACTGCCAGAAGTCCAAAGCCAAACGGCATGCTCACAGTCCGTTGCATTCCTTCGCTATACCCAGTCAGCATTTGGATATAGTCAGGCCCTTGCCACCTATGGAAGGATATTCCTACCTTTTAACCCTTATCAACCGATACTCCCAATGGCTGGAAGCAATATCAGTGAAGAATATTTTGATGGAATCTATTACTCAAGAATTTTTTATCCATTGGATTGTTAGGTTTGGAGTTCCCACGGCCACAAGTATTGATCAAAGCTGACAATTTGAGTCATGCATATTTACTATTCTTATTAAAATTCTTGATGTTTATCAGATTTGGACTTATCCATACCATCCTGCAGCTAATGCATTGCTTGAGTGGTTCCATCATTCACTAAAACAAGCATTAGTGCCGTAATAATGTCCAATGGACAGTGAGCCTTCCAGTTGTACTCCTCTGTCCTTGATCAACATACTAAGAAGATCTGAGAGGAACTTGCTCGGAAATGGTTTTTGGAACAACTATTCGTCTCCCCACAGAATTTTTGCAATCTACTCAAATTTCTATTTCTTTTGATCCAGTTTCATTTTGACAGAAGTTGTGTGAGGCAGTGAGAGAGATGGCACTGATACCTAAATCAGCCCTTGTCAGCAACAGGTATTTCGTGCATCCAGCTTTAGAAGCATGCACTCGCGCATTTGTGAGACACGATGCAGTAAAACCACCATTGACTCAACCTGTATGATGAACTATTTCAAGTCATGAAAAGAATTAATAAAAAATTTACCCTTCTTATTAAAGGAAAAGAATCTGTGATCAGTATCGATAATATCTGTAATATCGGTTCCTGTCCCTGACCAGAATCCTACATTAAAACCAAATGCCACTAACCTCCAGTGTGGACTACTCATTGTGGTAGAAGAGTCATGTTTAACCCTAGGTATCTCTGACCCCTCGTGTCATGTGTGGGAGAACTGTGGTGGAGTATTTGTATTCTGATGAGAATATTTGTATTTAAACATTTACATGTAGTATCCATGTTTGCTGCGCTATATCCATGTGCACCCGTTTTAGTGAAAGTGTAAAGACTCTCGAAGAATACTGGTAAATGAAGTTCAAAATATATAGCATTTAAATACAACTAAATCCTATAGCTATTTATTTACTTACCCAGAAAGACCAGATATCCATCCTTTAATATTTGCTCCAACATCCCTTTGAAAAAAACATTTATAAATTGGTATTGCAATAAAAATACCGAGAGATTTACTTTTCACCGAGAGATTTACTTGCATTTATACTTCATTGTTCCTGCTTGTACGTGGTTGACATTTGTCATAGTGTTATCATCATGTATTTAATTTCATATTTTACCTTTTAATTTTAGAATAAGGTTACTATTATGGTTTACTAAAACTCCAGCTTTTCTTTTGATGGACCTTCTGACAAGTTTGGAGTATCGTGGTATCAAACCAACACCAAACCTTCAAGAAATTCATTCGTAAATCTTACTGTGTGTTATCGAGCATTATTTTCCTTAAGAGGAAAAGTCAGATTCAAATGAACTTCTGAAGTGTTTTATGCAGGATTTAAGATGTCTTTTTGGTATTTTTAGACAATCATGGTAATATCAATGAACTAGACATGAGTGTGTATGCATTTAATATAAAGTTATCCCCTACCATGATATCTTCATTGTATTTCCTATTTGATAGATTCTGGCCTACTGGATGACTCTTTATTTGTTACAAAAATGTTTATCATCCAAAATGTAACTTTTGCTTCATTCAAGAGGCGTGTTTTCTCCATTGGAGGTATAGATGCATTCTAAGGGAAGCAGTGCTACCAAAAGGTGAAGTTGCAGTGTAGAAACTGAGCATAAACTGCCTGTAATATTACAAAATCTATAGCTTACATTTGCTGCATCAACTTACATCTGTGTTCTTATGTAAAGTTAGAGTGGCATGAACTTTTTTTTTTTTCGTGGCAAGTCATTTTCATAAAGCCATCTGTAGAAGGTTTTTCTTAATACAGATGTTTCAATGCTTCTCAAACAATAATTCAATAACTTTAAATAGCTTATGTATTATAGTTAAAGCTTATGTATCATAGCTTAAATGTATTATAATTAATCTGGAATATTCCAGATATTTTTTACATGAATCTCTAAATCTTCTTCTGCTTCTAAACAACAGATAATTCTGTAAAGATTTCTTAGATTGATATCTTGGAATCTTAAGAAGCAACATGTCATCAATTTGCATCTAAATCTAATATAAGAAATAGAAGTTTGTGTCATAATGTTATTTTCTCGTAACTTATACGATGTCAGTAGTTGATGGTTAACCTCATTTTGACTGTGTAAAAAGGATTGATTAAATTTGTTGGGGTGTTTATAATTAGCCTTAAAAAATGTTTATTTCTGCCCTAGAAAAGTTTATTTCTGAGAAATATTTTTAAGGTATTTTTAAATTTGCATGTATTAGAGATAATTTTGAACACCAGTGCATGTAAATTCGTAAAGTGAGTATAAAAATTTGCATAAAATACCACTGATTATGGACCAAGTCTGTATTTAATCCATAATCAATAATATGTACATTTTTTACAGAGAGTCTATAAAATCATAGCCAAATTTTCATAAATATCAATGTTAATCACATGTTTCTTATTTTTATTGCAATACCAATTTATAAATGTTTTTTTTCAAAGGGATGTTGGAGCAAATATTAAAGGAGGGATATCTGGTCTTTCTGGGTAAGTAAATAAATAGCTATAGGATTTAGTTGTATTTAAATGCTATATATTTTGAACTTCATTTACCAGTATTAATTGTAATTTTTTTGCTAAATATTATAAAGCAGATTTTTGTTTCAGAGCTTCATTGAACTGCTGAATAAAATGCCTGCATTTTGTTTTTCAACTGAAATTAAATTTTATGTTTTTGTGATGTCATCTAAATATATTCATATTCATGTTATATTTTCTTTTCATATATGCCATTCCATAAATTTTATAACTATATTGTGAAGTGATAAACGATTTTTTTGCATGATTTATTGGATGCATGCAATAATTTCAGCATTTTCTTATGACCAACTTCAGCATCCTATTATTCCAAAAACATTAAAATTTATGGAATATTCAGAATAGACTTTAATTTGTTTACTTGTATCTTAAAAAGAATTTGAAGACTAAAGCAACTTTATAGCTTGGTTGCTATATATTTGATGAGAGTATAATTTATAATATTAATTTAAAGAATTTGAATGATAAATATAAAAAGCTGTAAATTTGTGATCCAAAGCCCTGAACACATTATTTTTGAAAAAATGTTTTATTCTTATGCTGTATAAAATGCTATTTAATATAAAAGAAAAAAAATCCAAATTATTCCTAAGGACAATCATCAAAATAAATGAGTCCAGGTCTTAAATGATAAAAATTTTATTAACCACAAAATACCCCCTTTTTAAATGCACAGAGAAATAATCAAATCTAACCATTTGACAAAACAAGGCCATATCTTGTTATGCTTTCAAAGACAAATTCTGCATTTTTGGCTATTTATCCTTCTGTTACCATGATGTTATCAAATACCAGCCGTGTAGGAAAGATTCAGTGGAATAATTATATTGATTTATTCAGAAAAGAATAAAAAATTTGAAATTACTAAGAACTTATTAAATTATTAGTAAATGATTCAGATGTGAGTATTAAGTATTAACTAAAATTTGACTTATTCCTATTCTATACACATGATTACTTCAGACCTGTAAACGACAGTTTTTTTTTTTTTTTTTTTTTTTTTTTCTTTTTGAGTTTAAAATTTTGAGGTTAATTATAAATAAATTAGAAACAAGATTACTTTATCATTGTAATATTTGTATATATAACTAATTTATTACTTCAGGCTTAATATTGCTTTAATAGATTTTCTGTCAGTCATTTAAAGTCAATTTTTTTTTAAATCTAATTTAGGCTCATTTATACGTTGTGTATTAAAAGGTATTCCTATTAATAGATATTTATCTCTGCTGATAGTTAGCTCAGTAGTAAGCAAATAATTTCATCATAGGTTTGATTTAGTTCATACAGGAGCTTATTAACTATGTATGCTTTTTATAATTTTCTCCAAGTTATAAGTAAATGAATGGGTAATAAGTAAATGAATTTTTTTAGGAAGTCGTCCATGAAAGCAACCTACTTATGGCCTGAAATAGATAATTGCTTTTTGAGAATAAATTCCCCTATTATGTTTGCTCTGTTATAGTTCCTTAATTTATCCAAAGATTTTTATAAAATCTTTTATTAATTTTTATAAAGGTAATAATGAACCTCAGTGAAAAAGTTGTTTTAATGAAGTTTATTATAGCTTTAATGAGTTTAATGAAGTTGGGTCATATTGTATTTTACGTTTTGCATGGTCAGGAAATCAAAAGCCAAATTTATTTAAGGATTTTTTTTTATGCTTTTAACAGTTATATAACAGGAAAATGTATCTTTATTTTTATTCAGCCTAAATTTCCCATCATTATTAATTAATATATACAACATATTTATTGTTTACAGAGTTTTATAAAACATAATTTTGTTGTGTTTTTTGGCACTTTCTGTTTGTCTACATCTCCATTGAAAGACCATGTAAAAGTATTCATGAATCAAAGTAATATGTTGCCAAAAAGTATTTATGTGGCAATTTAGGTATGTGCTTTAGCCCATGTTTATTTTGGGCACTGCCAAAGTTGTATGGATGCTGAGTTTGTGCACTCCCCCTCTTTTTTTGAACAAAAACAGATTGTTGTATAGATTGGAAGAACATCACCAGTATATATATATATAATATATATATATATATATTTGAAAAAGGTTTTTTTTTTTAACTTTATTGATTGATTGCTGTTGCATGGAATTTTTAGTACAGCACTATTTTGAAATGGCTATTGACATTTGCACATTAGCTTGGCGAAAAATGAGTCATCAATAAATTCATGAACACCATCCAAAGTTGACAATTAGCTTGCAAGTTTTTATTGGGGAAGAGGGTTGCAGATAATTAGAAAGTACTTTTTTTTTAGTCATGCAATTTGAGGATATTTTAATAATTTTTCTCAGTTGTTTGGAAAAAGAAAATACTGTTGTGCCATCTATTTTTTTTTTTTTTTTTTTTTTTTTTTTTTATGTAATAAGAACAAAATGTATGTAAAATGTTGAATAAAAATTGCTATTAAAAATAAATTTAGGGCAAGAATACTAGTATATGTGTATGACAACTTACCTTTCTGTACTAAAAATAAGATGAATCATGAAATTTGAAGCTTTCTAATGTGAACTTAGTACCTTGAATATAATTGTTTTTCTGTTTTAGATTAGTGCATTTGCGTACATTCAGGAACTAACTGCTTCATTTCAACTTGCTTGTTATGAATTGTAGAACATGCATTTTATTTTTGTAGAATATAAGCACTGGCATTCTTATTTTGCAATAGCTTTTCTATTATATGCACATGCAATTATTTATCCTAAGAAGTTTTTTATTTTGGGATTTATTATGTTGCATTTTTGGAGAGTCATGCTCATGTAGCATAGCATGTATTGCCATTTTACTCTGAATGAGTTTTTGTAATTTACTTTGTGTAACATTCGTGTGTACATTTATCATGTCATGACCTAGTGAGGCTAATCAGTTGTATGAATCATATTGTGCTGCTGTACAGGGGAGTGGTTGGCAGTTTGAAAGGAGGACGTTTAGGTCGCACTTCTGTTGGTCATAGTACTGCTACTGAGTAAGTTACTACTCTTTGCTATTAAGAATTGCTTCTTCTGATATGTGCATTTTAACTTCCTAAGCACCTTTTTAATTGGTGACATTAAGTAATGAAACTAATTTTGTGCTTCATAAAGAAGAAAAAATATTTTGGAGTGTTTTTTATGTATTATTTTGGTTATTAATGGGAAATTAAACTGGTAATTGGAAAAATATGAGCCAAGTATTTTAATTAGTGAATAAGAGAAAATTATGCTAAAAGAGTCTTCCCCCATAATAATATGAATTTATAAAGTATTTTGCGTGTCTTTGATTTAGAAAATTTTTAAGATCCACTCAGATAAAATAATCATCCCGGTGTCATGAATTTGCATTTTATGACACAATGTATGTGTGCATAATAAATTCTGTTAATTAACTTGACTGCCTGTGTCTATAATAGCAACAAATTTATTATTCTGTACCTTAGCATTTAACTTAAAATATTTTTTTTAAGCCCAAAAGAGGCATTAATCCCGAATGGGATATTAATCTTGAAACAATATTTTGCATTAAATCAGTAGAAACGGTGTATTGCTTTTCAAATATTTGCCACTAAATATTATTGCCTATCAATTATATTTTAAGAAATTAAATAATGAAGAATCAGCATGAATATGTGCATGTTTCTCGCATTGTAGAAAAAACAACAATATCTAGAGCCATCAAATTTTTAATAACATATTCTTCCACCTTAATATGGGTATCTGGAAGCCCAAATTTTGAAATTCACATTTTTTTTAAAAATCTGTTTCATATTTTGTAAAATTTTAATGAATTTTTAATTAACAAACTCAATGATTGTACAAAAGCAAGCGGTGACAACATTGTACAGAAAAAAAAAAATTTCATCTCCACCCCACAAGAATGTCTATCAGAAATTCTAAATATGTGCTGTTTTTAAATATTTTGTTATTTAGGTGTTGAATCTTATTTTATGTAGCATAACCTTCAAGATTGTGATATTTAATGTGTAAAGTAAACACACAAAATGTTAATAATAAAAAGTCCAAAAAGAGTTTTTTAAAGTCATCTTAATAAGAAAACTGAACATTGTTATAATGAACTGAGAAGAGACTGAAAAATATCAAAAAATATATGCCAACACTTAGTGCTGCTTTGGGAATTCTAAACATATACTGCTATAAAATTGTTTGCCATTTTGCTGTTGAATTATATATGGCATGAGTGCAAAGAAGAGGAGGCTCAATAATAAATCTGAAAAGATAATAAATAAATGACTGAATAAAAATAATAGTAAGGATTACTACGAGTGAGTGTAACAGCAGGCTGGTAGACTGTGAGCTCAGCAAAAGCATACCTTAACAAATCCTTTTGGGCAATCATATTTCTTTTACATTAAGTTTGATTTTGGTAAGATTAGGTGGATTATAATTCAATGGTGAATATTTTGAATTTGTATATCACAGTGATGGTGGTTGAACATTTCTCCAAACTGGATTTTGAGGCAAATAAAATCTAGGGTAAAATGGTCTTGGGGTGTTATATCTTGGATAATTAAAATATGGACCAGGATTCTGTGTAGGAATATTAAATCTGGGCACTTTACTTTCTTGTTGTGGTAGTGAAGTTGGAAATAATTTTCGTGTTACAGAAATTTAACTTTGAAGCGAGCTTATGTTTTGAAAAGCAAGCTTATGTTTTGAACAGACAGTGGCATACTACATTGCTCTGGCAACCCTTGTTTGAAAGACTCAGTAAGAATTTGATCATTTAAATATAACGTAGAAGCTAATTTTAATTTTTGGTGGAAATATTTATCAATATCTGTAAAATTGTTATATGTAACCAAAACAAAATTATCAGATGTAAAATTTTTTGAACTAGAAAAGTAAGTTAAAAATTTTTCATTTAAGAAATTCCAAGCCTTAATCTTTATTATTCGCAGATATAAAATGACTATGCCTTGCCTTTTAAAAAACCTGGGAATGTAGTTAATCTATCTTTGTTGGAAAAACTTGTTGCAATTTGTCTCTCTCTCTCTCTCTCTCTCTCTTTTTCTTTTTTTTTTTTTTTTAAGTAAGGTATTTGTCAACAGGTTGATCCTTATTTGGATCAAATGCATTATAGATAAATTTATCCTTTTCTAGAGAAGCAATTTTGGATTTTCCATAGGATATTTATTATTCATTATGATGGCAAAATAATTTAAGCATATAAAAACAACAGTAACCTGTTTGGCACAATCAATCATTTAATTGATTTCTTAGGACATTAATGTGAGTCATCAAATGCCTCGGTCTTTTAACTGCTCTCTTGGGCAGGATGCTGGAAGGATGCACTGTCTTGCTGGGATGGGCAGTGTACACTGCTAAGGCTAACTTTGGGAAAAAAATTCACATAAATTAAATTTTTTTGGTCCAGTTGCATTTTGGGCACATCATGAGAGGAATACTCTCATGATGTGAGAATGTGGGAGGTTAGTGAGAATTAATTGGAAAACTTTATCATTATATTTTCCAGTTGCGTTGCCATTTGAAGGCGTTAATCCCTTGCCATTTGAAATATAAAAAATGTTTTGCTGAATGATACTCAAAATATTTGCCTCAGTGCTAGCCATACTCTAAGACGAATGAATACAGCATTTAAAACGATAGGACATTTTTCTCCATATTGCTAAAAATCAAAAACAAAAGTGTTCAGAGGCATGACAACTTTCCCATATCTTAATATCAGATGACTCTCTTAACAGCCAGCTGTGTTTATGCATTATTCAACTTAAGATTTCCACTTCGACTCTAAAACAGAATACCTAAAATAAGAAATACTGCAACAAAATGAAGATCAATATTCTCCACTCATAACAGGCATAGAGCTATATTTAATGGAAATAAAACATACTAATTAAACTTCTATCTAAAAATTCATGTATGGAACACCCATCCTAACAGTGTATTTAAATGGTAATTCATATATGACTCGTCTACATATTCATATATGGCTCTGTGCTACACTTTGTGGCCAAGGCATATATGTAGAATTCTTTTTAAAAATCAGAGCATGAGAGCACGGATCTTGGTATTGTACATACCTTTATTTTAATAATAAGAAATAAAAATAAGAAAAAATAAATTAAGTAAAGATGGAGTTAACGGTATGCAGGATTAATATAATGATGCACAGACAGTCCTAGCCCTTTCACACAGAGTTCCTCTGGCGTTGATAGAATATATGAGTACACAATTAGTTTTAAATAGTATGATCATCTAGTCATCACAGCTAAAGGCGAAAAATCAGCATTAGACCGTCTGTCTAATGCAACCCTTGAAGACGAGAGAGCCGTCTGCTCACGTCCACGCCCGCACGCTGTCTCTTGCTGTCTGGGATGATTCTCGCTGAGCGATGCTGATGACGTCATAATCTTGGTATTCTAATTCAGCATCGGGGATTCCCACAGCTTCTTCCAGCCTGAAGAGGCATCGTCCTCGATATCTGTTGAATGGACATCACTATCATGTACCTGCAAAGATAATATAAAAAACAAAAAAAAAAAAAAAAGAGAGTATCAGGTCCTTAGGTTTTGAGCTGATACAAACATCAAATCAATTTGACCATGGCTTCATATGGTCATCCGCAGTAGATGTCAAATTCGGTCCTTCATGGCATCCTACTTTTTCGACTTCATATCTGTCATTTGGTCTTACAGCTATGATTTTATATGGTCCATGAAACTTAGGTCGTAGTTTCTAACCAGTCTCATATTGAGTTCTCTGAATGGCTACCAAGTCGCCAATCTTGTACAGTTTCGGTTTCTTACGTTTTTTGTTGAATTGTTTTCGATTCTCTTCTTGAATCTTCAAAATGTTGTTTTTAGCATCTTTTCTGATTTCATCACGTTCTTGCATCAATTGCTTCATTCAATAATGAATATTCTTCATTCAATATCTCACTAATTTTCAAATCTTCTTTATTCTTCATTTTCGTGCCTATGAGAAGCTCAAACGGTGAATATTTCGTACTTCTCGTAGTTGTACTGTTGATTATCCTCTGTACATCTGGAACATTCTTAAACCATTTCGTTGAATCTTCATGTGATAATTTCGACAAAACAGGAATCAAAATTCTATGAATTCGCTCAATTTGTCCATTACCTCTTGGAATACCGGTAGTAATTTTGACATGTTCTATTCCTTCTTCAGTACAATAAGCTGAAAATTCTTTCGATGTAAAGGCACTACCTCGATCTGAAATTATTCTGGCTGGATTTCCAAATACAGTCTGTTGTTGCTTCAATTTTGAAATAACTTCTTGCGTAGTTGGTGATTTCACTGGATAGAACCAAGTAAATTTCGTAAAAGCTTCGACAACAGTTAGAATGTGTTGGTATCTCTTGTTCGTTGATGGAAGAGGTCCAATAAAGTCAATATGATACGTACTCAAAGGAACGTTTTCTTTCGGTACAGGATGAAGAAATCCTTCTGCTTTTTCTTGCTTCTTGTTGTACAGTATACATTCTATACAGTTAGCAATTACTTTTTCAACTTTGCATTTCAGTCTGGGAATATAGAATTCTTGCTCTACAGCATTCACAGTTTTATCTACAGCAAAGTGACCTTTTTTATGTTCCTTCTGTATGATTTTGTTCTGTAAGGATTCTGGCACCACTAGAAGATCTTTACCAATTTCAAATTTGTACAAAATATCATTTCTCACGAAGAATCCATTTTCTTCTCCCTTCTCAAATAAATTCTTGATTAATTTCACATGTTCATCTTCATTTTGTTGTTGTGCTAACTGAATCTTCTCAGTTACATCGGATGCGTATGATGTTAAAATTAGAGCATTTCTACTTAAAGCATCAGCATGTTTCATTTGGCTTTCTGAACGATGTACAATTTCGTAATTGAATTCTTCAATAAACATTGCCCATCTTGCAATCTTAGGAGTTAAATCTTTCTTATCTAAAGTTTTCTGAAAAGCACTACAATCAATCACAATTTTGAATTTAGTCCCTAACAA